TCCATCCATCCATCCATCCATCCATCCATCCATCCATCTATCTATCTATCTATCTATCTATCTATCTATCTCTCTATCTATCTCGACCTCCTTCCTATGAGCCACCAACTTCAGAATTGCTTCGTATGCTTTCATTCGATTTTAACGTTGCAATGGAAATCTACTTATCTATGTACGTAGATACGTGTCGGCGGTCACGTCGAAAGAGGGAGATCTTGTCCTGTCACCTTAGCGGTTTATCGTTATTAATAAATGCTCGATTATTATATATCGGATTATCGAGGTTGCGCGTGCTTCGTTACACTTTGACAGATACGACTTAATGGAAAGGGTGAACGATGAACGGTGAAGATCCACAAGGGAAGACTCTTTAATTAGATAAGAGCAACGCTGCAGTGAGGGAAGAAAGTATAGGAAAATATATACACCGATACAGGATACTTTCTGAGCCGAACCAACCAAACAACCTGGAATTCTCGATCAATTGGTTTGTCGAGAAAGAGTAATACCGTTTACGCTTTGCAAAACTTGTTTGCGATTGGGTTGCCTAAACGACAATCGTTTACGTATCGTCTAGTTTTGTTAGAAAGTCGAATCGGAAAAAATCCAATTCCGAATTCCAACACCGCGATAGTCGACAGATCTTTCTTATTCGGCTCTCTCTTCTAGTTTGTCTGTTTTTTTAATGTTCGGTAGAGCGACGCAACAGCAGAGTTTTGCGATTAATCGCCGCTGTCCGCGATACATGCTTCTAGAGCTAGACGCTCGAGTGTTTTCTATAGTTCCCCTGTTATCGCCGTTTCGATCGATTCAACGAAAAGTTTGGTAAATGGCACAGCGAGTCCGAGTTGGACATGGAACCGTGAAGGATACGAAACTCGACGATGCAACGAAATACGAGAATAATGCAATTGATAAGATAAGGGGTATACACATATACTTGTTTGAACGTGCGTACTTTGCTTCAAGTTTGGCGTTGCCGAATCAGACGTAACGATAACGATTATGTTTGAAACGAGTGCAGCAGACCTCGCGGTACCGGGCAATGATTTCGCGCTATACGGGGAAACATACCCGGGAGCATTTTGTACGACGACGAACATGGTACGTGTCGCACAGTCGAACGATGGAACAGTCGAATAGAGCACACGGAAAGAACTGTACGAGGATGTCGATTCGATTCTTTCAAGTTGAATTATTCACGAAGAAGCAGTCATAGGTTTCTTATAGAATCTTATAGAATGCAAAGAAGGAAAGGAGAAGCGAACGATACGTCCAGAGAGTCGGTAAGTCCGTCCTGTAACCGTAACGTTACCGTCCGCTAGCCGAGGGCTACGAGTATTATCGATCGTCGTAACAATCAGGTCGCCGAAATTTCGCGTAGAAAATAACAAGCGAAATTAACTGACACAACCAATCGCACATCCGTGTGTCTAGAATACACACTCGTACGAGTTAGAAACGTCCGTCAGGGCGGACGATCTCTTAGTCGTTTTCCTGTCGTTTCATCTTGACATGGAGAATCGCGCGAGGGGTTGGAATTTTAACCGAGAATACAATCGAACCGAACAGACCAGTATTGGATCAGAGATGGAATATCCTGTCGCAATTTGTCAGTTGCGGTGCATCTGCGAGAACGCGCGTTCAAATTTCTTCCATCGAATATCTAATAACGTAATAGCGCCCTTTGCATTGCCTATGATGGGAACAAAAGGCAGCAATCGAAAGGCAATCGACGAAATTGGAAAAAATGCAAACCACCGAAGCTGGGAAGTTGGTGCGCTGTAAATTTCGTTATTCTCGACAAGATGCCAATTGGAAATGTGCCAAGTAGTCGAGTGTTTCGTAGCACTTAAATCGACGACACGCAACAGATGCCACTTGTTACGTTGTATACTGTACCTGCTTGATTTTACGATAGATTCGTTTCGATCATCTATTCGATGATTATTCGTTTATTCTTTATTCGTC